GTTCTACAATATGAATTTGCACAATATCAATTAAGTATGAAATAATCTTTTCAAATTCTATTAGGCTGGGAATAATCAAACTATAGTCAAAACTCAATTCCCATAAGAATTTCCCATCAACCTGTTTCCGAGGCTGCACATTTTATTATATTATATTTCGCCAAATAGGAATGCAGAAAAATATATCACACTTTTTTTCTCCTTGAAATTGCAAAAAAAAAAAAAAGAAAGAAAAGTTGTATTCTAAACCTAAGTTGAGCATGATAAGTGGATTTTCCAGAGTGCGAAGAGTAAATGTTACATATGAGTAGGACCGGCAATTGATCCGGGCATAATCGAAGCCCGATGGCTCGACCTAATTATATTTGACGCATAATCGGTTGCCTCCAGAGTTAGCTAGATTAACTAATATTAGAATAGAGATACGAGCAAGAATATATATGTTGCATTAGACACGAAATTTCTAATTGAGTTATAAGAATCGCTTCTCAACTATATAGATATAAATTATTATGCTCATGGAGAATGTATACGTGATTTAATATCAACGTAATTTCTCGGACACTTAATCTACTCATTTTTTGTGATCTAGGTTCGTTGATGATGAGTGTGCACCAATCGACGCTTTTTTTTATCAGTTGTATACTCAAGTTCGAGAATATCTAGGGCTACCTATCGAGTAACGATGCTTTAGAGCCCTTCTCACAACATTACAAACCTCCATAAAAAAAACTTAAAACTTATCGAATTTCATTATTTTAAGAATTAAGATACATTAACCATTCAAAATTTTGCATTGCATTGTCTTTTGAGAGTTTTTGCTAGAACAATCTCGAAGTAACCTCGACAAAAGCTACCCCCAATAATTGAGAGAGAGCGAAAAGTTTGAAAATTTCGAATGTGTGTGCATAGATATTTTATATGTATATATTCGTAGCATATATATTAGTGCGGCCTAATAGATGTAGCAAGAGTTTAAATTCACTTGTCAGCGCTTTCAATGTTGAGCGTATCTCACATGACTTACGTCTAGTGGAATTTAAATTTCTCGTGTAGTTTGTAAGTTACTGTACGAGTCAATATATATATATATATATATATATATATATATATATATATATATATATATATATATATATATATATATATATATATATATATATATATATATATATATATATAGAGAGCTATATAGTGGGATAAATATTTGTTTTTTGTGATCTTTATTTATTTGAAAGACCTTATCTTTGCTTCCCGCACTGCCGACAACATAACACCCGAACAACTTGGCGAATTGGCCAACGAGTTGGCCAACGGCTCCCGATGCAACAGAAACAAACACATTTTCTCCCTTTTTCGGAGAACAAATCTCATAAAAACCAATATAAGCTGTATGCCCAGGCATACCTATATATGTGGGAGCAATGACACATCATATTATAAAGTCCCTCACATACATGCATGCAAAAACAAAAAAAAAAAGAAACGGGAGCGGGGCAAAAGTGTCTATTTACGTACCGAGAATTCCGGTGTAGTAAGAGAGAGGCAGATCTGCATTCTGAATTTTGAATAAACCCTGTGTTAGTTAAATAAGGCTGTACTCCTCCCAGCCTGTTACGCCCCAAATCAAGTCGCCTTTCTTCAAATCGGGATTAGACGAATCCACGATTTTCGCCACTCTATATCCGGTAATCGTCTGAATATAATAAAAATATTTGTGTATATAGTTATATAAAACCTCACAGTACTTCTTACTAGGATATATACGATGATATATATTTCGAGAAATATACAGTTCTCACCCTATATATTTGCACAAATTACACAACAGAATCGTATGTGTGCCCTCTCTGCCTTCACTGACGGACCACGGTAATTTGACGGAAATGACTAAGAGTGATTAATTTTTGAACATAAGGG